GGTGAAAGCTTGTACGGCCCAATCGTCTGTGACCGGTGGCAAGTCCATACGTTCTATTTGAAACCGGGATATGAATTCCCTCAGCATCTCGTTACCCCTTTCCTTTACTATGAAGAGGTCTGATTTCCTTGTTGCAACCTTTATGGCACCAGCATGTGCTTTTACGAACAAGTCTGCTAACATGGTGAAAGAATCAATGGAATTTGGTGGTAAGTTGTGATACCAGATCATCGCTCCCTTTGCGAGGGTCTCTCCGAAATTTTTCAACAACACGGATTCTATCTCATCATCATCCAAATCATTGCCTTTGATGGCGCATGTGTAGGAGGTGACGTATTCGTTAGGATCGGTCGTACCGTTATATTTGGGAATTTCGGGCATGCAGAATTTTTTGGGGATTGATTTTGGGGCCGCGCTCGAGGAAAAAGGCTTTTGTATGAATTTTTTCGAATCGAGCCCTTTTATCATTGGCGGAGCCCCCGAAATTTGATCGATCCTAGCGTTATATGTTTTCACTTTTTTGTCGTTGGCTTCGACTCGCTTTGTGAGTTCCTCGACCAATTTAGCAATTTCAGGAGCGGTCCCCGATTCCTGCTCGTTTGATTTCACTACAGCGGGTTCCGCTCTGGGGTGACTTCTCGAAGAAGCGGATTGGAGTTCGGCCCGCTTTGCGTATGAGTTCGGCTCTGCAATTGAGCTATCGCTGCTTGTTGGGCTTGTAATATTTCGAAAATCATACGCAAGATGACCCCGATTTTCCCCATGATGTAGGTGTCTCGGGCTATGGATCGAGCACCGCCCTGAACACTTCTCTCCGGTTCAGAACGCTGATTCGCTTCTAGAGCTATTTGTGAATTGATATCGAGTGGTACTTCGGCTCGAATTTCGGGTTCTTCGATTCGAGCCTCGTTGCCGTTGTCAGGTAGCCTTCCGGCCCCGGGCACCAAGTTGTTGGTTTCATCTTGAAGGCCGGCTTCGAGGTCGATAGTTAGAGCCATGGCTGATTCGAAGTTGTAAGCTGGAGTGTACTGTAGATTTATATCAAACAAACACCGTTACCCTTAGCCCCACGGTGGGCGCCAAACTGTTTACCCGAAAAATCGGATAACGTTAAATTTAGATATGGTTCTAAGGGTATGCAAATTTCTTTGATACAAAATGACGGTACAAGTATTTTTTGCTATGAAATGGGAAATGATAGACGGGAAGACTGAAAAAATATTAGAAGAACAAGCACAATGAAATCTTAATGTATCTTGGGGACCTCTCTTTATTGTAGTCTATCTCCCTTTTTATAGTAGAGGGTCACTAATTTATCTATAACAACATAAAATAATACATATAGTGGATAACCCATGATGATTTGTCTCTCTCTTGATTCTCGCCAAGATTCTCTCCCTTGGTGCGGTTGTAACGGCTCTTGTCTGCGAGCTTGGCTCTGACTCGAGCTTGGTGCTAGATCGAATCCCCAGTCTTAGTTCGAGCTCGGTTCTGCCTTGGAGCATCGATATTCGGGGCCGTGTCGATCGGCGTTACCCCGTAGTCCGATTCGGACACAGGCTCGATAATGATATCGAGTTTTGCCATTGATTGGTCTTATAGCTCGAAACTCGACGTCTCTACTTCGGAATTCGTCCGAGCTCGCCATGCGGATACCCTTCGATTGAAACGTCATTGTCTCGACCGGTCTTTATGACTGAGAATCGGTTTTGACCGTACACAATTACATAAATTCAAACGGAGAATATATGCTCCACTTTGTTTGGCATAGTTGGGCGTGCGGGAGGTACTTAATTTAGACTGTAAATTTGGACATAGATTTTTTAAATTTTAGAAATAAAATTTACATATTTAAAAATTAAGTAAAAAGTACTACTATATAGTTCATAATAGTTAATAATTCAAAATATTAAAAAAATATTTAAGAAAAAAGTGATAAAAAAGAAGATATTTTGGCTCTTCAAATAATAAATCTGCCAAACAAACTGATGAGACGGAGAGAGTAATAATAAAGCAAGAACCTCAGCGTATGTACATAAGTTAAATTAAATCCGAAAGAAAGTAAAGTACCTTGAAACTTCATTTTTAAGATCTAGACCCAATGTTAAAATCACGAGAAATCTTCATTTTTAAGACCGGTCGGTGCGGTACGATATTTAAATATTTTGATTTGGTATTTTTGATATTCGATTTCTTAAAAAATTATATCAATACTGTACCTAATTTAATTCGTATGATTCGATTTTTCTCTTTTCGATTTTCGTTTATTCGGTTCGATAATTTCAATTTATTTAGTTTAAATACTAACTAGTGTATAGAACCATTTACTGTAATATTCTTAATTAAAGTACTCAAAAGTACAAAAATAAAAATATTTGTAGATAAAAGTTTTGTCCAAAACTAACAATTATCAACCCATAGAGAGAAAACTGCACATAAAAAAATAAATTTGATCATTGAAAATATCTTGTTACTTGGTTAGAGTTAATTGATGAATTTAAAGAATAAAATAAAGTAAAATTTTAGAATTTTTATATTTATGTTATAATTATTAATATGCGTATTGTGTAATATAATATATATTTCGGTATGATATCGTCGTTTCGATATTTCGTTTTAACATGTCAAATACCATATCTTAAACCAATTTTTTTTATATAAATTTAAATCAAATATCATACAAAATATCAAAATATCTAATATCAAATTTTTTGTTTTTTTTAAAGGTAATTCCGTATTTAACATGCACAACCAAATGGGTTCCACTTCTGAATCTTGTGACATAAGAACCACAAAATGATGCGGCAAGATAAGGCAACTTGTGTTTCCTTCATTTCCATTTCACAGCGATCATCTTCAATGTCATCTGCTTCTACAGAAAATCGTAGCCTGTGGAAAGAGGTCGTAAAATCAATAAGGAGCATATTCAAAGCTAATTCCGGCCATTTCCATACCCTTTCAATCCTCTTCCTCTTGCCTATCTTTTTCTCTCTCGTCGTTTATCCTTCTTTTCACCTCGCTCTCTTTCATCCCGATTACGATTTCATCACTCAACCTCAATTTTCACACTTTTTCCTTTCCAGTTTCGAAATTGTTGTACCAGTAGCGTACACTCTGTTTCTTGTCCTCCCTTTTCTTTGCGCCGTAGCTACAATTACACACAGCACTGTTCAAGCATCCTGTGGTAAACCTATCAACCTCGTTTCTTCTATTAAATCTATCAGATATTCCTTCTTCCCCCTTCTCTCCACCTTTATCGTTTCGCAAACCATTTTCATTTCAATCACTCTCATTTTCGCCCTTGTCTTGGTTTTCTTAGTCCAAGTTCTTCAAACTCTTGGACTCAAATATGACTCGAATCACTTCTTGTTTTTGGTTATTCCCGTGGTGATAGTGCTCTTGCCAGTTTTGATATGGCTGCAGGTTAACTGGTCATTAGCTTATGTGATAGCAGTAGTCGAATCCAAATGGGGTTTCGAAACACTAAGGAGAAGTGCCTATTTGTTAAAGGGGAAGAGATCTGTAGCTATGTCGATGATGATGTTATATGGGCTTTTGATGGGAATAATGGTGGTTTTAGGTGCCATGTATTTGGTCATTGTGGGTGCAGGGAAGGGTCATCAATGGAGAAGTTTAGGGGTAATATTGCAGACTGCTCAGGCTTCTGTAATTGGCTATATGATGATGAGTCAATTTCTTGTGGGGAATGTTGTTTTGTATCTGCGTTGCAACGACTTGAATGGTGAAAAATTGCCCTTGGAAATCGATCATCTTCTTCTTCATCAATCTTTAGCTAATGATCATCCACCTCCAATGTCGTCCGCTTCTTCGAAAAATCGTAACCTATGGACAGAGGTCGTAGAATCAAGAATGAGCATATTCAAAGCTAATTCTGGCCATTTCCATGCACTTTCAATCCTCTTCCTCTTGCCTATCTCTTTCTCTCTCGTCGTGTATCCTTCTTTCCACCTTGCTCTCTTTCATCCGGACTATGATTTCATCAGTTTCGCTCAACCCCATCTTTTCCTTTCGAATTTCGAAATTATTGTACCAACAATGTACTCTCTTTTTTTGGTCCTCCTTTTCCTATGCGCCGTAGCCACAACTACATATAGCGCGGTTCATGCATCCTATGGTAGACCTATAAACCTCGTTTCATCGATTAAATCTATCAGAAAGTCCTTCTTCCCCCTTCTATCCACCTTAGTCATTTCGCAAACCATTTTCATTTCAATCACCCTCTTTTTCGCCCTAATCTTGACTATTGTAGTCCAAATATTTCAAGCTCTCGAACTAATTGAACTCAAATACGACTCAAATCACTTCTTGTTTTGGGTTGTTCCTGCTTTGATTGTGCTTGTGCCAGTTCTGCTATGGCTACAGGTTAACTGGTCATTAGCTTATGTGATTGCAGTAGTCGAAACCAAATGGGGTTACGAAACACTGAGGAAAAGTGCCTATTTGGTGAAGGGGCAGAGATGGGTAGCTTTTGGGATACATTTATATTACGGGTTTTCAATGGAAATGCTGATGGTTTGTGGTTCAATGTTTATAGTCATTGTGGGTGCAGCGAAGGGTAATCAGTGGATGAGCTTGGGCGTGATACTGCAGACTATGCTGGTTTCAGTGATGGGATATATAATGATGAATCAGTATCTTGTGGCGAACGTGGTTTTGTATATGAAATACAAGGACTTGAACTGTGAAAAATTGCATTCGGAAACTGGAGGCGAGTTTGTTGCTGGCAAGTACGTTTCCCTGTCTTTGGATGAACAGAAGAATCATGTTACTGCGTAATTTGTAAGTAGTGAATTTGGCCGGCTATTTGTGTAATGATCATTTTGATTAATGCCTCTATGTATCGTATAATTTTTGGTTGTCTTTGTAGAAAGTTAAACGTGTGTGCTAGATGGTTCTCCTCTTTTTTCTTCTTGTTGAATATTGAATAAAAACAATAGCTGTAATTGATATGTATTACAGTGATAAACAATTATGGAGTATATGTATTATTGTGTTGAATATGAGTAATGAGTTGAACCAAAACCTACAATTTCTTAACTGTCACTACACCTCAACCCAATTTTTAAAAGAATGTATTTTAGGCATCTTAAGAAATTTGCATAGATCGTCATCCTATTAAGTAGGGGTGTACATGGACCGGGTTGATTTGGTTTTTATCGAAATCAAACCAAACCAACTATATCAGTTTGGATTGGTTCGGGTTTTCGGTTTTCCGGTTTTTTGTTAATTAAATATTATTTCAATCTTACTTTGTTAAATTTTTTATAAGTAAATGTATGTTTAGTAAAAATGTAAAACATTGACAAATATATTATCTATTAAAATATTTTTATGGGAGAATTTTCTTAGTAATACATAATAGTTATTTTTTTAGTCGTTTGACAATAATTTTTTGTTGATATACGCTTTCAAGGTTAACCGAATTAGTAATTAAACATAAAAATCAATATGATACCTAAATAATAATAATCACTTCACGTTCGAAAAAGATATAAGAATTTAATAGATCTTAACATATGATATGAATATGGACGAACAAAGAGATTGACGTATTTCAGTAACACTTGATGAGAAAGTGATCATATAACCCATTATTTAAGGTTAATAAATATGGAACGCATCATATTTTATTAAATATTATATCCCGCAAGAGAATCCCAAATATTTCTAGATATTTTTTAAAGAATTTTTTTTATAAAATCTTAAAATTATATATTTATATGTCGGTTTGATTCGTTTTTTTACTCAATACCAAACCAAACCTAGTCGGGTTTTTTAATCGGTTTGGTTTGACTTTTAGGTTTGGTACAGTTTTCCGGTTCGGTTTGTACACCCCTACTTGTAAGGAAAGAAAGACACTCATATTCAAAGCTAATTCTAGCCATTTTCTTGCACTTTCAATCCTCTTCCTCTTGCCTTTCTTTTTCACTCTCGTCGTGTATCCTTATTTCCACCTCGCTCTCTTTCATCCCGATTATGATTTCATTGGTTTCACTCAACCACAAATTTCTCACTTTTCCCTTTCCAGTTTCGAAAAATATTGTTCCAATAGTATACGCTCTGTGTTTGGTCTTCCTTTTCCTTTGTGCCGTAGTCACAATTACATATAGCGATGTTCATGCGTCGTGTAACAGACAAATTGTTGGCTAGATTAAGACACAAGATGATAACTAACCTTAGTTAGCAAGTAAACTTAACTGTAGTTAGGTTGTTAAATGTGTAGTTAGGTAGTTAAAAGTTAGTTATGGTTAGGTGGTTAGTTGTTAGTTAATTTACTGTATATATACAATGTTCAATGAATAGAAAACACACGATTTGCATTTCCAATTTTCCCTCAAATTTGTTCTTCATCTTTCTCAATTCTCTCTCAATCTACTCTTTATTTCTCTGTCGTTAATGGCTATGGCTGCTAACATGGTATCAGAGCTATCGACGCATGTCTTCCTCGCAGCTCTAGTTTCGTTCTGGTCTTCTCAGGAACCTCAGTTCAATAATTTCTAGTTGAATTGTCTTAGAGTTCATCTGAGCTAGAAGGAGCTGGGGTTTGTGAATTGAGAGAGAATTTTGCAAAATTGTTCAATTCAACTAATCGGCGAGTACTTTTCTACTAGAAAATGGCAATTGGAGATGAGTCGAGTCCCTCGAGTAGTGTACATGTTCCTCCTAACACTGGAAACGGTGATTTGGGCACAAGTACCATAAGTTTTCCAATAATCGATCATAATCATCCTTTGTTCTTATAGACAACTAATACTCCAGGAAGCACACTGATTTCACTTCAGGATCTGACAATTATGCTCTATGAAGTCGTGCTATGAGAATTGGCCTTTTAGTTAAGAGCAAATTGGGTTTTGTTGATGGTTGATTTCCTAAAACTAGGTTTGAACCTGAGTTACATGATCAATGGGAAAAAGTTAATGTTGTTGTTCTGTCACTCGGTTAGATTTGGCTTATTGAGTAGTGTTCTGTATGCTTCTGAAGTTCATAAGGTTTGGGAGGATCTCAAGGAAATATTTGATAATGTCACGCCCCGAAATTCCTACCTTCGGACCGTGATGGCGCCTAACATTTCACTTGCTAGGCAAGCCAACG